CAATTCAAATTCGCTAAATGCCTTGAAGATCCTACAAAATTAGTTCTGTTGTCGGTATACATGATGTGAATTTTGCCTCTCCAAGCAAAAAATCGACATAACGCTTGCAGAAATGCTTCGTTGAGAAGGAACTAATTAGCTCTAAATGCACAGCACGAAATACTGCGCACGTAAACGAAACTATCTAAGCTAGTGTCACTTTAGAATCTGTCCAAGGAAAGGTTTTAAGAGGAAAGTTTAATGCAATCCTTATGGTTTGGGCTAAACGAGCAGCAAACAAAGCTCATAACAACACGAATCGGGGAACAGTTGGACGATTTATTCGTGCAATCTTGATTTAGCGGCAACTAAATTGACAATTACGTCTGAATTTTCTTTGCAGCGTAGATATGCAGAGCAAGCATAGCATTACCTGATGCATCCGAAAACAAGTGTAAAGTGACATCTTCTTTCCGTCCATGGAGCATTCTTCGTGGAATAGAGCATTGTTGCATACAATGAATATGTTTCATCCAGGTTATTATATTTTAACTGAAGATCCTTAGAAAGGGGGTCATGCCAACTTATTTTCCTTTTCCAAGTTTCTTGCAAGGAGTAACTTAGGAAATAGCATATCAGGAGATGTAAAACCAACTGAATCGTAAATACTATTAACTATTGAAGTAATTTCCTCTTAGTACCAATATCTTCTAAATTTTCTATTGCCTTGGAGAATGTGCACTTAAGTTCGTCAATCTCTGTTTCCGCTTTAAACCAAGAACAGAATGATCTTCTTGATCTTCATATCCTGTGCATGTCCAGTCGCGTAAGTCGAAACAACTACTATCTTTCATAAGTTCTTCAGACTGCATTTGTATTTCCGTGCATTCATCTTTTTTTGACACTTATGATTAGATTGCCGACATAGAATCCTTCCTTAAGTATTTTCATGTTTGACTGCAGTTCTGGTGTTTGAAACTGTTGACACTGCAAATGATATTCGACGGTAGCATTTAATCGAAATGAACTTGAAGTGACTCCAAAGAAAATACGGGTATGCTGATATTCTTTGACTGATAATCGATCTTTATTTTTCCACTAGAGAAATTTAATACACTTCTGTCTTCTGGGTAAGCACTAATTTGCAGAAATGCTTATTTAATATCTGCTGTGACTCCTAAAGCATCTATTCTGAACTTATTAAGACGTGGAGAAATTTTTGAATTAAGACTTGGTCCAGTGGTTAAACAATCATTTAATGATGTACCACCAGACGTCTTTGATGAAGTATAAACACTGGGCGAATTTTCGTTGTTGCACTGGACAATTTAATCACTGGTCTATGCGGCAAGTAATATAATGCCGCAGTGCCTTCGGATGGTTCAACTTTTGCTATTATGACCCCAGTCTCCTAACGAAAAAAAAATGTTATCGTACCCTTCAAATTAATTTTCTTTAAGCAAACATTTAGTTGTTTGTATAAGTCTTGATACAGCTTTATCATAATTCAAGATTTTGTAAGCATAAAGATACTGTGTTCAAAACTTCTCGTTTTCGACCAAGCCCTAGTACAGTCCAACCCAACTTTGTCTCGACAATCGACAGCCCATTTTTCAACACTTCAATTCTTCCAATTAGAAGGCTTATAATATTTGCACAAATAAGTAGTCTAATTGCACGTAAGGCGTTCTCAAAGTCGGATAGAAGAATTCCCTTTGATGACAGTTGTGATGTTAAATTTTTGTCTTAAATCCTAGGTGAACTTGGGCAAATTTTAGGCTGATCTAAAAATGAAAGTTCTGTTGAATATCTTCTATCAACACTTTCTATAAAAACATAATTAAACCTCTCACGTTTTTTAAATGGTGTTGTGCTACCACCAAATAACTCTTGACATAAAGTTTCTTTCTTTACAGAAGTTAACTTGAGTTCCGGAGTCAAACACTTTTCTATATATGATCTATAAGAGCCATCATCAATAAGTGCTCTGCCATTTATTCATGTGACGCAAGAGTAAAGTTTTTAAATAGACTGCGTGTGAAGATGGCTCTAAAGAAAATAATGCAGCAGAATATTTTACCTCTGATTTATTTTCGCTACTTGGAAATTCAGTTGATTTTGCTTTCAAATCTGGACAAAGTATTGGATAATGATGTCTATAACATACAATGCATCTTACGTTACCTCGACAGGTTTTCGCCAAATGTTCCAGGTTTCAAACAAACTACAAAATATTTATTTATAACCATTGATTTTTCTCTCTTCTTTGTTTAAAGTTGCAGCTTTATTACAGTTTTGGCTAGAATGAGTACGCTCGCAAAAGTACAAACAACCAAATTTCTGACTAGGGGATAAGGAGTTTATTCAAGCAGATGCTGTCGGCTCGTATTTTGAAACTGGCGGGTTACTAACTTTCTTACTTTTCATTGTATCTTCAAAAAATTTTTCTACTAAAATTCTATGTTCTTTACCCCAAACTTCATGTTGCAAAAATGACATTAAATCGTGTAGCAATATTTCTTTGGTCGAAAACACAGATCCTCCAATCACACAGATTTCACTGTTGAGTCTATATCTGTCCCAAGCTTTCAAAACAGCAACGTGTAAGCATGGTTCTACTGCAAGATATAGCGTAGTTACTCCAAGTGTTTCTAATCTCGTTAAATATGATCCTAGTTTACCATAAAGGTCTGACAACTTCACATTAGACCAGTTACTCACTAATGCTAAAAGATCTGGTACATAAACGTCTGTCAGAAGATCATGTCTTCCAAGTATCGATTTAAGATGCTCAACCGCTTTAATATAATTATTCTCAAAAGGTGGATAAGTTTCCATGATATCGCTTGCTTTGGTTTTCAGTTTCAACGAAGAAAGTAAATATTGAAATCTGCCCTCTTTTCGTATGTTCTCATCAACATGGATGCGAGAAAATTGTCCCTAAAATGCAACGCATGTTCTAAGAGCTAAAGAGCTAAATCATATATATTTTTTTAAATTTAACTCAAGAAGCTTTAAATTCAAGCTAGAAACTGAAGTAGAAGAAGATATTTCATCGCCAAGAAATTGTACATACTTTTTAAATATAGTTTTGATTTCAATGAAACGATCCCTATAGGACTTATAAATTCTGTGCCTCTTTGGGAACATAAACTTTTAAGGTCGTTTTGAAGAATTATCTTTTATAGACTTGTGATACTAAACAGAGATCAGAAGAAAGGTGTATAAGGCTTTTTTTCAATCATAAAATTAACAAATGACCCAACTCGGGTTACAAAAAGCCAACACTTCTGGCTTTACAGAAATACGTAATAAATAGTAATTTTAAGGTGTGTAGGTTCGCCTAACGGTTCACAGAATACTTTAACGCGCAGGAAGAGCTCTGGTCTCTGGTCTAAAGTAACTGGCGAGAAAAGCCTAAAAGGTAAGAACACATCAACGCCGTTAACGCAAGTCGTGAATAATCACAGCACAACGTGGCCTTAGGCAGACGCGCTCTGAAAACTAAATTCCGAAACTCTTGCAGTTCAGTCTACCTTAATCTGAATAAACTCTCGCTATCTCATTTACATTCTAGCATGAAAAGCGTGGGTGGAAAGAGAGTAAATAGGAAAGGCTTCTCAACTTAAAATGAACTTAGTTAAAAATAAATAGATAAACCTCACAGGCTCAATTTGATCGTATTCTTCGTACCTATATTCTATACGCTCAGGCATTTCTGAATCAATTTTAAATAAACGCTCTGACTTATCCAAAATTTTATTATTAAATGTGACTGAAATTTGCTTACTTTCGACCTTCGTATCAGCTGTCAACTTATTAAACTGGTTAGAAGCAATCGTAAACTGGCGATGTAAGTTTGTTCTTTCTTTCTTCAAATCCTCCGTAACATTATCCACATTATCATTCTTCTTTATTTCGTTCTTTTTTAACTTCAGTAATATAAATATATCAACAAAAAATTTCAATATCGCAGAAAGTTCTAATTACTTTATTTTCAACCTCTTTTCTTCAAGCCTTCGTGGCGTAAGGTATCACACTCGGCGAGTATTCGAGAGGTCCGGGCTCGAGTCCCGGCGAGGGCACTGCTCATTTTTCTTGTTACCTGCTTCAAAATAACCCAGTGATTCTACAGTGACGCCCAAAATGAAAGGTGGTGAATGATGATTCTTCACCACTAAGATTTGACAATTGGGTCCCCTAATTCCCAGTCGCCCTTTAAAAGGGAGAGTATATATAAGGTATCACAAGTAGACGCAGCCCGACCTTATATAATCATACAGGCCACGCCATAGTATATAAGGTAGTTTCTCCCTTCTTTCTGCATGCCTTAATGGTGTAACTGTAGTACACTTGACATGTATTCGAGAGGTCCCGGCGAAGTCATTCCTCATTTTTCAGGTCTCCAGCATCAAAAAACCCTAATGACTCTGCAACTTGATTCTTAGCAGGTAAAGAATTTTCTCACGGACGCCGATAATGTTTAAATACCAATAAATTAAACGTAATCTAATAATTTAAATATATTTCTTTACAGAAGTTTACGCACGGTAGTAAAAATAAGATACGTATATAGAACACATTAATTAATTTTAACTTACAAACATTTTCTTTGGAATACAACATCTGAAAACTAGTTGCCAAATTCTAAAAATTAAACATTACTATTTGTAGTGAAATAATAAATACAGAAAACGATTCTTTACAATATTAAAAAAGCATGTATAGACAATAAGGTGCAAAATTTCATTTTTGTTTAAAAAAAAATACTGAAGTATAGTTTATAGAACTACATGTTTAAGAATTTTCCAGTATACAAATAACTAAAATTCAGTTTTCATTTATTAGATTAAAATTTATTGCAAATTTTGCAACAAATATAGCACCAAAATTTTTTATATTGCGCTTTATTTCACGTTACAGTATGCACCATTAAATTAAACAGAACCATTTATTATAAAAAGTGTTTTCAGGTGTGGCATCATAATAATTTCTCGTTCACATTCACAATGCATGTATATATAATTCATAAAATTAATTACAAACTTTAATTTTAGAATAATAGAAATGTTTTTTTGATTATTGAAACTTTCAATTTTAGAATAATAGAAATGTTTTTCACTTGTACGAAAAAATTCTCCGGGAAAAACGAAACATCCTAAAATGTTGTATGAATCAGAAGTAAAAAAGCCACTGTATTTCATTCCAGGGTAAGTTCAGATTTCTGGTTTTGTTTAGTTAAAGTTTGCTTTGTGTACGAAAAGTGTTGAATTTTCTGTTAAAAATCTATTTCTCTTGTTGGCTGGATGCATTCGTCGGGAAAAGTCAATCCGCATCGGACATTCAGCCATATCTTCACCCAAAATGTTGTTTAGAATGTAGTACCAAAGAGTGTGACTGAATTACACATGTTAGAAAGGCAACGTTTGTTCCAATTTTGACAGAAAAACAACGGGGAACGGATCATCCACCTTTCCTTACCCATAAACCTCTTGACAGGACTTTCGCCTCCATACTGTTTAAGTGCCTCCATACTGTACAGACACTAATGACCATCAAAGTCTTCTTCGAGGTTCAAAGTCTGGCTCGATAAGGCAACCAACATCGCAAACCACTAAGCCGATAAATTGGCTGTTAAAAATTATAATTTTTCTTTAAGAGTTAAAATTTTTAAAAATAAAATGTTTGTTTATTTACTGTGCTAGGCCGAAAGTGAGACCGTGATGTTTCCTTAAAAGGTAACTTTAACTACTAAATAAAAATTATATTTTTTATATTTCTCACAATTACAGTATATGAGCGAATGATATTTAAAAATATATTAAGATAACCTATTATATATTTTTTAACTTTTACGTTAAAAGTAAAAACATTAACGGAGTTTTAAAATGCAGCAGTGGTGCTTAAAGTGCAGAAAATCTTGATACAAAACCTTGAACCAAACTTTGGAGTTCTTTATTAGATCTAGCAAAACAATCGTAAAATTGACAAGTCACACTGGAAGATAAGATTTTTCACGTAAGCAATCTTAAAACTCTTATAAAGCAAAATTTTCTTTCCATTTCTTGAATCAATAGTTCAAAAACGGTTCGTTCCAAAACATACGGTGACTAGATTTCGAAGTTCGAAATTTGGAAAAATGTACAATAAAAGTGGACCTATACATGTAATTTTTTTAATATTTTCTTTTATTGTGGTGGAGGTGGTATGTAGGTCAATAATTTTTGTTTTGTCTTTAATAGTGATATATATTATTTTTTTAATAAATAAAGAAATCAAAACGCAGTATTCATTTTTAAACAAAGTAATAAATTTGTAACCCTTCTAAATTATTTTGATCAGGTAGCCTTACATTTCTCTGAAGTATGAACATTTCCTAGCACATCTTTTTCCTTTTTGATCTTCTTATAAAAGTCCGTGCAGTTTTCATGGAAATTTTCTTTGGATTCACACTTCAAAGTGTTCACTTTGTCTTCTCACTATTCCAAAAGCTATTCATAATGTCGAACACTGGCTCAGTTAGGTGCAGCATTAGCGCCAGGAAGACTCTCGTAGGTTTAAAAGCATTTGAACAAGGAATCTGGTTCTTTTTAAAATATGCAGATATTTCCCTCCTCCTCTGAAATGGTCCTATCTTATTGTTTAACCATTCCAATACTTTTTCTTCCGCTAAGTTTTGTTTAAGCTTTAAGGCAAACATATATCTCCTTTTACGTCAGTTTCCAATAATTTACGATTTGGTATCATTTTATTAATTAACGAAAAGGCTCAGACGGGCTAATATTGACAATATGGTTTTAAGAGGTAAGCAGAGACTCAAAATTTTAAAATAAATGTCATGTACAGACTGTTGTGCGGATCCTCGGACCTTGAGAAACACATATATTGCTCTTGTTAGGCCTGTCCTGGAATATGGTGTTCAGGTTTATCAGGCCGCTTCTGTCAGCAACCTAGATAAACTAGAAAGGCTATAACTTTCGGCTGCCAGAACCATTACTGGTCTTCGCAATTGTTGCCCGAAGGACATTGACCTCTGTGAGGCCGATCTTCAAACCTCAGACTCCGAAATAAGTATCCCCTGTTGAACAAATGCTTATTAGACTCAGCAGTTATGCGGATCAGCATAGAACGTCTAGATATGTACACTGCTCAAAAAAAAAAAAAAAATGGGGGGGACAGTCCTATATCTCCCGTTCTACTGCGCCGATTGACAAAATTCAAATTGCGTTCTTCATGTCTCGAAAGCGCGACTTAGGATATATATTAGATTTACATATAGCACTATTCTAACATAGGTATTTTGACACCAAATCGGACTTTTCTGAAATAACATACCAATTTTTTTACATATTTCGATTCTACAACTCAAATTACGCCTAAATATGAAATTTTGTAAAATTTGGAGCGAAATTTACGGAGAAATTCACAAATTTATGTTGGCTCTTTTTTTTTCAGTTTGCGCCAAGAATAGTTCACTTGGCGAACTTCTTAATATATGGCAACCTAGTTTTTTCCTTTCCCGTGAGAGGGAAAAAAACCATCGTTCCTTTTTCCCAAATAATATTCTTTATATTATATTTTTAATTATAACTTTATTATTTTAAGTATTTTTTCTTTTTTTCGAATTTCATTTAATTGTTTAAGTTGCATGGTTTTTTTTCGAATAACTGTTTAAAAATTTCTATTTACCTATTCGAACTGCGTAAATAAAGGTGCAGCGTTCATTTTTTGTTTTCAAATAGTTTTCTTTATATATATATTTTGTCGTAGTTATTATTTTAGGTAATTTTAAAATGTTTATTCTTTTATTTCAATTGTTTGTATTGCATTGTCTCTTCAGATAATTGTTTTAAAATTTTCTATTTATTCCTTCGAACTGAGAATTTGAAATATATTTATTATGATGACTTGCATACACTGCTTTAAACAGTTTTATCATTGTGACCATTGCTTTACACAATTTTATCCTACATTTGGTTTCTTTAAAATGTTATTCATATTTTAGTCAAATATTTTTATTTGAAATCCCAAGAATCAAATAAGATTAAAGGTTTTAAATTTAAAAAAAAAAAAAAAAAATACAAATACTAAATTTTACGCAAAATTTTTTTTTTCCTTCTCTTTTCTTCAGGCATTCTACTTTATTCTTGCTCTTTTTCTTTAGTCATTCTGCAAGTATATTAAAAGGCATCCAACTTTTCGAAATATCTTGGTATTTCTGACAATAATTTTAAATAAAGTTATCGCCTTTCATTTCATAAAGGCCCACAAACGGCCGAGCTGTAAAGTCGCTGAACACTGGTAGTTCACTCCGGGGTTCGAATTCCAGTAAACGGGCTGGTTGCATGGGCGTTTTCGTGGATTTTCTCATGTGTACCGTGTATGCCAGCTGGTTTCCCTTAGAAAGTTCTTCACAAAGTATTTGGTCAGAGCCTTTATCAGTTTTTAGTCTTAGAGATGAAACGAAAGACTGATTTTCTCAAGAGGTTTTGGTTTATTTAATTATGACAAAGCACAGTAGGGCTATCTGCCTGGAGGATGCCTTCTTGGAGGAACTTTCTAAAGGGAAACTGACTCGTCATACAGGATACGATACACATGTAGAAAACAACAAAAACGCCCATGCAGCCATCCCGTTCGCGGGATTCGAACCTCGGACCGAACTACCAGTCTTCAGCGACTTTACCGCTCGGCCGCTGTTTCATCAGGAGGAAAAAAAAAAAAAAAATCTTTAGGTGACATCCACATACATCACTGGATAAACTCCTGAATCTTCAAATAATTCGAATGAGAAAATCATGGGATTCTCCATTTATGATACGATATGATGTTCTATAACGTAATTTAAATTTATACAACCATATAGTTTAATCCAATCGCTCTTCACTTAAATCTGCAATGATATCGTTTTTTTTTGTCTTTTCTGTTAACACAAGCTCAATTGATGGTATTTGCTGGTGTACACGTCCAAGACTGTTTTTCTCTTTGAACACCTAAATTCTTTGAAGTATCTTGAAAGTATATTCAAAAGCGTCCAACTTTTTGAAACATCTTGGTATGTCTGACAGCCAAATTTCCCTGCAAATTTTTGCTTACTTTTCTCCCTAATTTTCTTCTTTCCTTCTACAGTTATTTTCAGTGCTCACACAAGAAAATTAAGATTTTTCGATTGCTAGACTTCCATAAATTTTGCATTCTTGTCAATTTTTAAAAATATCAATTACATGAATTACGTCTCAGCTGAAGACAGCTTTTCATTTTCTAGTCATTTTAACTATAAATAAAGTTTAAAGCGTAAAGTTTATATATATATATTTTTAAAGCTGGGACTTGAACCAAATTGTCAAACTTTTAAAGTTTAATTTATGTGGTGGTTATAATTAAGTTCCAATTTGAAATGGTCATAAAAGGAAAACTACCGGACCAAATGTTATCAAACTTGGGAATCGTGTAAAGGAGGTTATGGGAATTTATTTTCCGCGGGAAAAAAAAGAGTTTAAAAACTCACCACCAGGGGGAAAATGGCGCTGTATACAATATTGTTAAATGAAATAAGACATGGAAACATCTGTTTAAAATGTGTTTAATATTTTTCCGAAACGTGTTACAAAGCATGTTCAATGTAGCGTCCAGCATTTTCCGAAAGCACTTAAATCCTGTTACTACTACTGCATTCTCAACAGCAGCTCTTAGCATATCAGGAGGAATGTTACGGACATGTCGGTGTATCACATTTTTCATTTCTTCTGCCAAATTGTTTAGATTATCACCATAAACAGTGCTTTTGAGATAACCCCATAGCCAAAAGTCACAGAGGTTGAGATCTGGTGGGAAGAGGGGAAGTGTCGGCCTATAAGACGTTCATTCGTGAAATGTTGCCTAAGTAACTGTGCGACACACGTGAGGTGGGACCTAGCCCTGCATAGAAATCGTAGTATCTAAAATGCCACGTTACTGCAGTTCATGTATCACGAAACATTTTAACATTGACTCTAAGTGAGCTGCAATCACAGTGGTCCAGCTGTCAACTCCTCTTCAGAGAAAAATGGTTCAGTTATAAAACTAGCTGTCATTCAACACTAAACGGTGTGGAATGACTGCTAAGCAATCGAATGCAGTAGGAGAATGCAATGGAACTAGATAGATAACATGACAGATTTCTTTGGCCCAAATCGATTAAAAGCGTTTTGAATCAGTATCTTCATGCTTT